CACTGATTCATCTTCAGACCTGACAGAGCCTCTGTCTGAGATCTGCTTGACAGTCCCCATGATCTCCTCCATCTGCCCGCCAGGGCTCGGCTGGTAGGAGAACAAACAGGGTCAGGGGCTGGAAGTGAGGAAACACGGGGACAAGGACTAGTCCAGGGAAAGCATGGGACTGGGGAACACACACAGGAAGCTGGAGGCTGCAGGAGGAACTAGCACCGAGGGGTTCCCTGCAAGGCTGGAACACGTCTAGGGAGGCAAGAGGTTACGGGGTGGCAGAGAAGGAAGGCTGGGTGGGCCAGGGCCAGGCGCCTGGCCGCAGCGCCGTGCTCACCGGCATCGACGTCGCCACCTTCTGCTGCTGCTGCTGGTCTATCTTGAACAGCTGCACCTTGGCTCTCTTCAGCAGGCTGAACATTTTCTCTTCCACCCCAGACAGTGGCAAGGGACCCAGGCCTCCAATCCGGGCCTTCTCCAGTGGCGGTGTCTGCTGTGGCGACGGTGGCGGCTGAAGTTGTAACTGGGGCTGTAGCTGTGGCTGCTGTGGTGGCAGTGCCTGGGGCAGCAGCTGGGTCTGCAAGGCCTGCAGGGGCTGCTGGAGCTGAGCCTGCGGCTGCTGCCCATTGCTCAGAGCTGAAGTCCCCTGAAGGGGCCCCTCGCCCTTAACAGGAGTGGTGACCACGGGGGCGAATCGGGGCAGGCTGAGGTGGTTGGTGCGGCCCACTGCCCGTGGCTCGGGCTCAGCTGGAGAGTCATCGGCAGGAGGCGGCTCTGGCTCAGGAGCTTCAGGAGCCCCAAGAGGAGGAGTAGTAAGCACCGATTCATAGATCTTCAGGTGGGCTTCACTTGGGGTAAACTGAGGGGCCCGAAGGAGCAGGGGCCTCCGGGAAGGGGTGGGAGGGGCAGGGGGCGGGGACGGGGACGGGGACGGGGCTGGTGGAGGGGCAGGAGGAGGAGGGGGCAGCTCCCGGGTCAGTGAGATCCAGCGAAACGTGGGTTCCCTTAGAATGGACCGTCTCTTCTCGGGGAGTGGGACAGGTGTCGATGGGGGAGTTGGAGCACGTGGTGGAGAGGGGGCTGGGGCTGGTTCCTGGGGAGCAAGAGGGGAAGTGGCAATGGGAGGTCGTAGAACAGGTGAGATATCCACCTTTGGGGGCTTGGGGGGGTCTTCATCCATGAATCGCCGAGGTGTCTTGATGACGCGGGAGGAGCGGGCACTCACCACAGGCATAATAAACTGCCGGATATTCTTCAGGAAGGTGGTACTTTTGGGGGCCACGGTGGGACTATCTTCCGGAGGGCCTCCTGCGGTGGTGCTGGGGGTTGGAGCGGGAGGAGAAGTGCCCTCTGGCCCTGCCCGGGCAGCTTCCCTCTCTGCCCGCTGGCTGGGGGTCAGGGGAGGCCGGCCCCTCTTCCTGGAGCACGCAGCAGGGGCCACGGGAGGAGGGGACTCTTCTTGCTCCTCCGGGGCAGGAGGCGGCGGAGGGGACGGGAGGAGTGGGGGTGACGCGGGGGGGGGCAGAGGGCAGAGTGGGGGTGGAGGAGATGCTGAAGCGGGTGGGAATGCTGGAGGAGCGACCGGGGCTGGAGGAGTCAGGGGTGGCGACGGCGGCTCCCCCTCCTCCTTTTCCTTAGCCAGCATCACCTCTTCCTCGGCTACAGCTCTCTCTTCCTTCTCTTCTCCCTCCTCCTTGTCTTTTTCTTCTCTCGTCTCTTCCCCCGCCTCCTCCAGCTTCTGCTCCTGATTCTTCCAGCAAGACCCCCTTTTCTGTCCAGATCCAACTCTTTGGGAAGCATCCTGCCAGCCTTCCCCATGTTGACCTTGACCCTGACCTGATTCAAGTCCCAAGGACAGCTGTCCCATCTTCACTTTTTTGGCCTTTGAAACAAACTTGATCACCAGGGGGAGCCCGCCTCGGCCTCGCCCCCTGCCTCCACGGCCTCCTCGCCCAGACTGTCCTCCGCGCTTTGGGGCCCCAGGTCCTGGGCCAGGGCCCTCCTTGCACTTCCAAGTGCCAGTTCGGTGTTTTACTGGAACCACAGGAGGTGGGGGCTCAGATTTGGGGATTGTCACAGCCGCTTCTGCCACCACTACTGCTTGGTGCTTCTTCCTGCAGGGGCCTGCTGGCCGTCCTGGGGGCCGTCCCCGAGACCGACGGGGAGTGGAGGGCTCACATGTCTGGCTCCGGGGGGGTGGGGGTGCCTGGGCCCGCCGGAGAAGTTCAGTCAGTGCCTGCACCATCCGTTCTGTGCCCTCCTCACCCCGTTTCCGGGCAGGGGTCTTTGGGGGGGTAGGAGTCACATCTGCTAGGCGAGGAGGAGGAAGGGGGGTTGTCTTATGCTTGCGGCCCCGACCTCGAGGGGCTCGACCTACAAGGAGAACAGGCATGGGGAGAGAAGGGTCAAGCTGGCCCTGCACGCTGAGACTGGCATCCCGGGAGGGAAGGACTGAGCCTCGCTTGTCTCCTGTCCCCCACAGCCCAGCCCAGCTCGGACTCTGCACACGAAAACATTCGGCAAAGGAAGGAGACTGGGCCAACTGAGGAGCTGCCACGAAGGACGAGAACACTCCTGTAAAAAGCCAGGGAGGTCGAGTTTCCCCATCACTCACCTCGCTGGGATCGGAGCGCAGAGCGCAAGGAACTGGGGGCCACATCTTCATCTGAATGAAAACCCTGAAACTCCTAATTTAGGGGGCCAGGGGTGAGGGGAGAAACAGCAGTCAGTGCCACAGCCCTTGTTCCACCAGGGTCTCAGATATCGGGGAATCTCCCCGGCTACCCCAGCCTCCTTACAGAAGGAGGAGAGTGAAAAACACGGTCTTCTCCCTAGGGATGGAGCCCCAAGGCCACACCACACTGCACAGCCATCAGGATGCTCTGGCCCGGAAGGCAGCGCAACAGGCCCAACATTCAGGGCCAGTTCCAATTCAGAAAACTAGGGCCTTCCAGGCCACGGTTTCTTTATGAATGAAGCTGGGACCAGGGACAGCCGAGGGGGCGTGGAGGGGTGGGGGAGATCAGGACCACTCTGAGCCCCGAGGTGGTTATTCATTGTCCGAGCTGACACGACCCACACCTTCCTGCCTCTTCTGAAAAGCTGGGGGATAAATTCCCAGGTGAACTTGACCCACCACAGTGCCCAGCCCCAAGCTTCAACGCCTCAACCCGTGCGGCAGGAGGAAGTCCTCCACCACTCTACCTTGGATCACAAGAACTGGGGCACTGGTGAAACCAGGGATGTGTCAGGGTGGGAGGGCCGGCAGAATCGCCTGCAGGTAAGAGCCCGAACAGCTCTGTCCGGGGCCACTAAAGCCATGCTGCCGCTGTCAACCGCCATTGGCTGGGCATGCAGTCTCCATGGCCCCCTCGCCCAAACCTCGACCGCCCCAGTTTTCTGGGCTCCCAAGAAGGATCAGCCCAGGACACTTCAGCAGGACCCGCCTGGGGCCCAAGTGCCTAGCCGCAGTTTCTCTGTCCACTTTCCGGGGCCGGTTCCAGCGAGAGCTCCATGCAACCTATGTCCTTCCATGCCTACTTCCAAGACTCCTCCTCTGCAGGGCCCCTGAAGACCCCATTTGCCCACGCCACCCCTCTGGGCCACCCAGACCCCTGTAAACCACTGGCCTCCGCCCCGCCGGGCGCCGGGGACGCCTCCGACCGCCTCACCTCATCGTCGGATTCCCCGTCACTGCTCTCCTCCTCCGGCACGCAGCCCCGGTTCTGGCCCCAGCCCCGGCCCCGGCCCCGGCCCCTGCCTCGCTGAACGCGCGGGCCGGCCCACAGGCGGCGGAGCCGGCGCAGGCCCCGGCGGAGCCCCAGCAAACGGAGCAGGGCCGTGTCCTCCCCGGGCTCGGCTCCGCCCGGCCCCGCCGCGCCGCCGCCGCGCCGCAGAGCTACCCGCACTCTTTCGGCCCCGCTGCCCCGTCCGCCGCGCCCCCCTCCCCCGCCGGAGCCCCGCGGCCGGCCCGGGAAGCGGCCCCTCGCGGAGCCAGGCCCGGGGCAACTGCCGCCGCCCGCCGCCGCCGCCATCTTGGCACCGTGAGAGGGGCCGGGGAGGCGGGGGGAGGGGCGGCCCGTGCGCAGGGCCGGGGGGAGGGGAGGGACAGGAGGGACGGGGCGGGGCGGCTGCAGCTCACGACAACCACCAGCGCCGCCGCGGGGCCGGCGGGAACCGGGGGCTGGGCTGCCGCGCGCAGGGCACCACGGGAGCGGGAGTCCGAGGCCTGCCGGCCGCCACCCTCAGACCGCGCCTGAAGAGCACAGACCTCGCGTTGCGGCCAGAGGGGCGAGGCGCGGGGGCCTCCGGGAAGTGTAGTTCGGCCGCCTAGCTCCTTCCGCCAGGAGCTAGGGTGCGAGAGCTGGGACTATGAGTCTCAACCAGGACCCGGAAGGCCGGGTCTCGGTCTCCGGGAGGTGTGGTCCTCGCCCCAGGCTCCTCCCATTGTTCTTGGAGCCAGCGCCGAGCCCGGACTCTCTCTCCCAGGGTGCAGCGCGCTTCGGCCCTTGGGAACCCGGAAGACTCTGGGAAATGAAGTTCGCCGCTGAGGCGTGCGAGCACGAGTGGGCGGCTGCAAAGGGCTAGTCTCAGTTCCTGGCGCAACGCGGCGGCCCTTGCGCACGGTGTGCAGAGAAGACGCTGGCGAGCCCGTGGTCTTGAAACCCTTGTTCTCAGGGAGAGGAGCTGACTGACGTTATCGGGGCTAGAGCAATGCGGTCGTCTCCGGCCTCTGGCCGGGCGCCTACAAATCAGACTCGCGCGCCGAGGATGGCTGTGGAAGGGGCCAGTGACTTGGGGGCTCACGGCCCCACACTCCCAGGGCCTGCCTCGAAGTTTTCCGGCACACTAAGTCCTCGGGGTGACTGCCTTTGGGGGCAGGCGGGGAGGCCTGGCGATGGAGGCAGCGTGCGCCCTGCTGGACAGCGGCCGTGGCCACCAGGGGCCGCTACAGGACCGGGGCAAGGCTGAGAACGCCGGCGCACAGACTGAAGTCAGGACGCTGCTTTCTTGCCCAGAGCGAAAAGCACAGGAAACTCTTTATTATGGTGATGCAGCCGACAATCCTCATACAGTTAACCTTCGCTCTTGCAGGCTTCAGTTCACCCGACAGGGGTGCGACCCGAGGACTTCAGGGAAAGCGCGCTCGGCGCCCTTCCTGCAGCGTGTCTGGAGCGGAATTTGCTAGACCTACGCGGCAGCGGTGCCGGGGCAGAAGCGGAGCCTACCCGCCATTCATTCTTTAGTTGGACTCCTGGCTAAGACCAAAGAAACTTCAAACAGCTTGTCGGGCGGTGGAGGAAGGACCACAGGGAGAGGTCGAGGCCCGGGGCGGCCTCGAGGAGGAGGAGGAGGAAGAGGAGGAGTAGAGGAAGGTGGAGCGAATGGTCCATCCGGGAGGGAGCTGGCTGGGCGAGTGGCTGCGCATGTGCGCCTGCATGGAGGCCAGGCTGGGGCAGCCCGCCCCGCACAGAGGGCAGCGGTAGGGAGCTGCCCCGTGCGTCCGCAGGTGCTTGGTCATGGCTGAGAAATCCCTGGAGCGCTGAGGACAGAGGCCACAGGAGAAGGGCTTCTCTCCTAAGGGCAGGCGGAAGGAAGAAGGGGTGAAGCCTGGCCAGGCTGGGGGTAGATCAGTCCACGAGGGAACTGCGCAGAAGCCAGGCGGTGCACACAGGGCCGGGCACCTGTACCTGTGTGCACTCGGTGGTGCGTCTCCATCTGATGCTTGAGTGAAAATCTCTTTCCACAGACAGCGCAAGAATAGGGCCGAGACCGGGCAGGAGGGGGTGGGGGAGGGCGTTGGCGAAATGGGTGACCTGCAGTGACCTCCTGATCCATGCAGGTTGCAAGTGCGCCTGTGGGGACAGAGACGTCAAAGCAGGGCAGGGCCAGGGATCGCCCAGCGGAATCACTGGAAACCCAACAAGAAGTCGGGCTACAGCCCGGCTGGAGCAAAAGTGCCTTCACCCTACTCACCTGTGTGCCCCTGCTGGGACTCTTCCGTCTCCCCAGGGCTGAGCTGTGCAGGGCCCTGAGGGAGGGAACCTGAAAGGAGCCAAGTGAGTGCTCAGGCTGGCCCTGGGAGCCCAGGACGTAGGGTGCCGTAGGGTGCGTATGGGACAGTGGGGGGCTTACCTGGGGTGGGGCTGGAGGAGGCCAGCTGGTTCTGACTACAGAGCCCTTTGCGGGGGTTCAGGGACAGTGGGACCCTGGGGAGGTGTAGGGAAGAGGTTATGGCCTCAGTAAACCCTGGCCCTTTCCCTGAGCCCTCCTCAGGGCCAGGCTTTGGCTTCCCTGTGGTGGGAGCTCGGGAAACGCACAGCAGAGAGAAGACACAGAGTGCCCTTCCACCCGTCATGGCCACCTCCTCCCAGCCTGGAGGTCTTCCCTTGGCCTTGGACTCACCTCTGGTGCAGAGGCCAGACCTTCTGCCAGGCTCCCGTGCTGGGGGTGCTATGGGAGAAGGGCGGCCACGACAGCGAGGTCCAGAGGGCAGGCTGGCCCTCCCTCAGCCACGGGGCCTCCGCCCACCAGGGCCTGGGGAGGTCGCTGGTTTGGAGAGAACCTGGTGGGGGAAGGGGGCCAGGGAACTCCCACAGCCTTTCTTCAGAGCCCCTTGGACTCTGCCTCACCCACGCCACCACTCCTTGCTCCTGGCCACGAGGGCATCGGCTGCGTCTCTCCTCCTCAGATCCCATCTGCGCCCACTGCCCTCCGCGCCCTGCCTCTGTCCTCTCGGGACTGGCTCCTGGTGACTTGTGCTTGTGCAGTGTCTCCGGATCGCGCCCGGCAGTTCTAAAGCTCTCCGGTTCCTGATTCTCTTCGAGGCCTCCCAGTCCTCTCCCAGAGCCCCCTGTGGGTTTCTCCTGCTCCTCCTCCTGTTTCTTTAGCCCTAGGTCCAGTTCTTCTTTAGCCCTATCCCTCTGAGCCCTCCTGCATGCCTCTTCCAGGGCCTGTACCCCCAGGGCCTTGGCTGCCTCCTCAAGGGGCCCTAGCTCCCGAGACTGAAGCTCCACGCTCTCCCCATAAACAAAGCTCAGAAGGTGGGCAAAGGTGGAAGAGCTGACACCTTCTGCCAGAGCCCACTGGCCCCTTCGGCACAGCTGCTGGCTCACGCCTGCTAGCACCAGGCTGTGGGCAGGGAACTCCCGGCCCCCTACCGTGATCAGGGTGTCACACAGTGCTGGCCGGAGCCTGGCTGCCAGCCGTACCAGCCGATCAGAGCCGTAGGGGCTAATCAGTCTTGGGGGCGGCTGGGGCATCGTGCCTTGCCTGGGTACCAGTGTCAGAGGCTCTGAGAGGCAGGCCACAGCGAGGGCTCCGTGGCGGAGTGGGGAAGGAGGAGCAGCATGTTCTCAAGCCTGTGGAGGGGAGTGGAGAAAGAGTGAGTTGCCGGTTGCTGGTCCTACATCGAAGCTCTGTCCTGAATGCAGCAAATAAACTAACCCAAGAGAGGACCTGAGCTCGTCTAGAATCAACAGAAGCCAGGGGTGGAGCCAGAAAGGTGGGAAAATGGAAAAAAAAGATCCAATTCAGGACTTAAAGAGCAAGAGGCAGGCCATTAATGCAAATACCAAGCAGTGTGTTCAGAACAGGTATAGGAGGGCCCGCCAGCTGGCAATCTCTGACTTAAAGAAAATGAAACTGCTCCCCAGGGGTCCCGCTGTGGGCAAGACCACCGAGCAGGCCAGGCGCCCCTCATTCCAAAGGCATCAGCACAAAAGCCCAGCAACAAAGATGGAGCAGGACATAGCTTCAGGGGAGAGCTTAGAAAGCTAGTGGGTCCTCCCTCCACAAGCCCATCATCATGCCTGAGAGAGAGAGAGGACAAGATGGGCCGGGCTGCAGGGCCTGAGATGGACACTCAAGCACACCCTCACAGAAGGACTGAGACCAGTTGCATCTGACAAGGGCGGTGCAGAGCCGGGGAGAGAGGCTGCTGGCCTGGTAAGGAGGGAGGGAGGGAGACTTCAGCGAAAGCATTGAGCTCTGAGAAAGTGGGAGGAGAGGGCATGGAGACACTGAGGAGCCAGGCTGTTTCCTCTCAGGATTAGCATAAAGAGATGGTTTAATTTTGTTTTTCATAAGCGAAAAAGTAAAGAACAGAAGACAGAACCCAACAAGGCGGGAGCTTGTCACACATCAAAATGACCACATTGGCTTTTAAGAAGAGAACTAGAAACCCAGATACAAAGAGAAAGAACCTGAGCACCTTTGCTCCCAGCAGGCCCAGTCCCCGGTACAGTGCCACTGTGGGGGAGGACCCTCAGGGACACCTCAGTGAGGGGCTGCAGGTGGCAGGGAGTGGACAGCAAGGGCAGTGATGGGAGGAAAGCCTCGTCTGGGGAGAAGCAACCACTCACCAGTTGCAGCTGCCTCCTCGACACTGACGCCGCATGCTCTGAACTGTTGGGGCTCCTGCAGGTCCCCCTCCCCCGGAGGAGCTAGTCCCGCCCCTGAGCTCACAGTCCTCCATTGGATGTCCCAAGCATCAGTCTGCCACAGTCCCCCGATGGGGTGTGGCTTTATATCCCCGGCTCTAAGTGCAAAAAAAGACAGCCCCTCTACTGCATTTGTGAACTGCCTAGAGTCAAAGAAATGTAGCTGTGGCAAAAAGAACTTTGGAATAGTGAGAGGTGCATTGGAGCCTCTTCTCACCTCTGCCGCTACTAGCTGAGTGACCCTGGGCAGGCCGCCCAGTTACCCCTGTTAGAGGCCGGAGTAAAGGTGAAATGCCACGATGAATTCAGGTGTGCTCTCTCAGGTCACAGCAACATTCTGATGGTAGTGCCGTTTCTTAAGGGTGACAGTACAGCTCTAATTAGGCCAATAGCTGTTTCTGTGGCCTCAGAAGCGAAAAGGGCGGAAACATCAGGTTCCCAGGAGAGGGAATAGGAATGCCAAAGCGTGTGCCCCCTCCCCTGGCTTGGTACTAAGAAGCCTCCCTTGCTCTGTAGGATGACCCCTTGTCATCTGGGCCACCACTGAGGACAGGGTGTGTGAGTGACTCAGATCCTCCCATCAAGCTCTCAGAGGGGCAACCCCAGGAAGGGCCTGCGGTGGTCTTCGAAGAGAAAACCTCCATTTCTTGGGCTGATGACAAATGGCTTTTCTCTGAAATTAGGACTCAGGAGTTCCTTTCACTTCCTGCCGAAGGGGTCAGGGTCCCCAGAGACTTCCCCTCTTTTCACACTTTAGCACTCTTTAACCTGCGGAAGCAATGAGGTCGGAGAGATTCTGTCTCTTACTATCCCGTTATCCCTAAGAATGGAGGAGAGTATCCCTTCGTTTAACACATGTCGATCATGTTATGTGTGTCACGCATGTGTACTAAGTGACTGGAAAGCAGTGCCAGGCTGCCTCTGACAGACAGCTTGATTCCTCCTAGCCCTCTTCCCTACGTCCTGGTCCCTTCCTACATCCAAATACTGCGTCTCTAAGCCACCGTTCCTCCCTGTGGCTTAGGACTCCCGCGTCCTCAGACCCGCCTCCTGTCGCCTTTCAGACCCGCTGCTTTTCCTCCCATCTAACTTGGGTATAGGCAGGTGATGATCCTTCCTAGATCCGACAGGGTGTGTGGTGGGTGAGGCTGGTAGAGGGGCAACAGAGTGGGGAGAGGGGCAATGAGTCAGAGTGAAAGGGAAAATGCAAATGGGCAAGCTGTATTCATCTGCTACTGTGAATGCTAATTTTTTCCATTTCTGAGCATTCTAACGCACATCACCACACCCAGTGACACAGTAGACACCTGTATCAAATACATAAATCATCCATCCCTCTAATATGTATGTAAACAGAGGGAAACAGCCTTCCTCCAACACAGACATACACAACCCCTAAACACAAGTAGTGAGGAATGCCAGGAAGGACAGGCTCCAAGGAAAGTAAAGGGACAGGGATCTGAAAGTTACATCACCCAGTGCAGTGTGGTCCCCATCCCCTCCCGGCCCTACACCATGTGCCTGTGACTCAGCTCCCCCACTGGTGTGGTTTGCCTGTTGATGATCAAGAGAGGCGCAGACTGCGCGAAGGGCAGCATACTCTCGAAGCAAAGTGCAGTTGCTGGAGTCAGTGGGCTGTCGGGGAACCCAAAAGGGAGGGAAAAGGGCAAGGGGACTCCCTGTTCAGTGAACAAAAGCCCCCAAGAATGGGAAACCCCATCCTGCCTCCCACTTGGTGTCTACCCCACCTAAGGGTATCCCCCTTAGAAACCGCCTCTTTAGAGCTCTCTGCAGGGCCCTCTGTGCCTCAGCCCGTGTGCTGGTGACTCTACTCCTTTCTTTAGCCTCTCCTGACATGCTCGACAGTGCAACTGCAGCCTGGCCATCATGCACTGAGCAGTGGCAGCAGAAGCAGCACTTTTGGTGTGGAAGGGTAGGGACACTGCTGACTGTTGGTGTTCCTGAAAGAGCTCCCCTCCCTGGTCTCAGAAACCTGGTCCACCTTCTATTTCCCAGGCTGACGTGGTAGGAATCATTTTCAAGAGTTGACTAGCCTGGGTAGAAACCACAGGTCAGAACACATCCTGCATCCCAGAGGGTAGAGTGGGCAGGAGAGATTAGGTGGCCCATAACTGCAACAGGGATTTTTTTGGAGATCTGACTTCTGCCTGACAGCCCTCTACCGTGCTCAGTAATAATAAGATTTTTGAAATCTTGTGTTTCTTCTTCTTCCTGGAAAGAAGTAGTAGTAGTAAGGGGGACTGTGTGAAGTGCTCCAACTGCAAGGTCAGAGCTTCCCAGCAAGCTGTGTGTCATGAGCTCCTCCAGGTACAACCCAGCTCTGTGTGCAATGTCAACACAGCAATGCGAATATTGATAGCACCTAAACATTAAGAGTTAGACCATTAGAATGAACCAGGTGACTATTTATTTTACAAAAATATTCTCCCTTTATCTCATTTATTTTAAATATTGAGCCCTCTCCACAAGCCAAGCTGAACAAGATTCAAATAAGGAAAATTATGTTTAAAAGATTCTTCCCAGAAGCACAGCTCTTTTTATAAATTAAGAGCATTTTATATTGATTTTATATTGATTCGAATCTTACATGAACAATCCTTGTAGTTAAGTACATCCAACACAGACCAGGGAAGACATAGCACAGGGTGAATTAGTTCTATCTTAAACCTATGCTGTACATAACCCAAGAGCCAGCTATGTCGTATTCAGGTGAGCTAAATCTACGTCATAGAGACCTTGTCATAGCAGACATTTTGTGAATTGAGGGGGAGTCAGAAGCAGGTTCCACTGCATCAACAAGGATGGCCCTTTTCTTGAGCCTTAATGTGGGGCTACCTTCTCCAAGACCCTCAGACTCCTCATAGGGGCTGTGTCAAGACCAGGACTAAATGCTAGAATTGACTTAAATCTGGACAAAGGGCTCCACACTATCCTTATGGGATGAGGTTTCCAAGAGTATTTATTTAGAAAGTGCCCACCTGGAAACTGCAAGGCTACTCACAAACACACTTCTAGACCATTCTCCAGGAACCCAGAACCCTGGATTTTGTGGACCAAATGACTGAGTTCACTTCCAAGACCTACTCAGGGCTCAACTCCAGGTATATATTCTTGAGGGTAGGCTAAGGTACACACCCTAAGCTCTGATTGTGTGTGAAGGGCATACAGACTGAATTTTGGATATGCAGGGTAGTATGTGACACCCCTACAAATGCGAGCAAACAGTGGGTGTGGGAAGAAAAAGAGAAGTCTCCACTTATAGTCTGGCCAGGCCCCATAAATAACAAAGAACACTACCTAATTCCATTTTTTTTTTTTTTTTTTGACAGGCAGAGTTGGACAGTGAGAGAGAGAGAGACAGAGAGAAAGGTCTTCCTTTTTCCGTTGGTTCACCCCCGCCAAGTGGCCACTACGGCCGGTGAGCTGCGCAGATCTGAAGCCAGGAGCCAGGTGCTTCCTCCTGGTCTCCCATGCGGGTGCAGGGCCTAAGGACCTGGGCCATCCTCCACTGCCCTCCCGGGCCACAGCAGACAGCTGGACTGGAAGAGGAGCAACCGGGACTAGAACCCCGGGGGCTGGCACCACAGGCGGAGGGTTAGCCTCGTGAGCCGTGGCGCCGGCCCCAATGGTTCTTAACCTCTTAGGGGATCACCATCTGGCTGAGAATGTAAGACAAGGGACCAACCATGTTTGTAGAAAATTGCAGATGCCCAAACCGTTGTGCATAGGATTGAGTAATTAGGGATTCAGAGTCCTCAGAAGCCCACCCTGGACTGTGTAAAGAGTCCTTCTCACTGATCCTTGTAGCTCCTTGTGGCCTCCCCAGCTTCCCTAAATACACACATGCATACATTTTTTCTTATGATTTCCAGGAGCTCACAGACATCTGATGCCCACTCATTACCCCCAGCACCTCCTACCCTCCCCTGGTTTAAGAACTGTGTGTGTACATGATAGTCCCCTGAAAGCTTTAATGCTATTGAACAGCTGAGTGAAATTAGATATCAACACCCAGCTCCGTGAGTATAAAAAGATCATAGAAAAGGACGGGTGTTTGCTCTAGCAGTTAAAACACCACTTGGGATGCTTGCATAACATTTCAGAGTGTTGAGTTCAAGTCCTACTCTACTTTTAATTCCAGCTTCCTGCCAGTGCGCACTCTGGGAGGCAGCCGGTGATGGCTCAAATACTTGGGTCTCTGAGACACAGATTGAATCCCCAGCTCCCAGCTTTGGCCTAGCCCTGTCCCTGGCTGTTGCAGGCATTTGGGGGAGTGAACCAGTAAATGAAATCTCTCTCTTTCTCTGCCTTTGAAATATTAATTTAAAAGATCATATAAAAGTCACAAGTAAAGACAACCTGGGTGATTTCCTAAAGAGCAGAACATCTCACAGACCTCTTCCAGTGTGCCAGTACAACGTTCATCTCTCCAGCGCCCCTGTCCCATGCCTGCTGTCTTCTGGGAATGACCAGAAAGGGCGTGGGGAAGAGTGAGGACAGAGAGTCTGGAAGCCACAAACACAACTCAGTTCTGTCTAGAGCCACCACGGGACAAATACATTCAATACAGGGCACAACGCTTGCCTGGGAGTTAGACACTTCCACCCCAGCATGTCCAGAGAAGACTGCTGGCCTAAGTTCCTAGCCGTGTTGTTCACCCTGGACCCAATACTGAAAATCTGCCATGAGCACCTCAACCTGAAACCCAGCAATCCCCCAGACGCCTTTGCAAACACATCTTCCAGAGGTGGCCTGGATGCAATGACTCTGAAAACGTCCCAGCGGACTTTCAGACTCTCCAACATTCACTCCCAGCCCGGGCTGGATCCAAAGACCCCAGGAAACCTCCCAAGGGTACACGAGTTTCATCCCTTGGCCTGACCCCCTATAACCTCCACAAAGCCAAAGGCCTCTCTGCTCCGTCATCAGATCAGGCTCAACCCAGCGACTCCAGGCAGCCCTCTCAGTGTCCAGAGGCCAGAGCTCATGGCCAAAGACTCCATTTCTTTGGAGTCTCCAACTTCCCCCAGAACACCCTACCAGTTCATGCTGGCCTCAGGGGCCACGGACCAGCTCAGAGTCAGTGCTGCCTTGGCTTCCGCCCCACCGAGGTCCAAAGGAACCCAGGAGCCCCCTCTCCGGGGCAGAGAAAGGACCCAGGGCCTACAGACCTCAGTCCACACCTTCCAGACCGTCCACTGCAGCCACCTGGGCACCTGGGCCCCAGCTTGCCCAAGCCAGGCCCAAGCCCGAAGAAAACGAGTAAGAAAAAGCCATGGTACTCACCAGGTCAGACCCCGATCCTCCTCCCCATTCAGCCTCCGGACACTGGGGGCAGCGCAAGCCCCAGTGGCCGTTGGAGGGTGGGGGGGAGTGGCGCAAGGCCACCGGGCACCGCCGGGCCACGTGCAAAGCCTCGTTCGTTGCGCCCGGCTCCCGAGGCGGCCGCTGATTGGCTGCAGCGGTGGCCGCGCGCTCCTTCCTGTCCAATGCGCGCCGAGCAGCCCCAGAGGCTCTTGGGACAGCCGCTTCCTCCGATCCACCTCGGGCTGCTGAGCCCGAGCCTTTGGGTACAGTGGGGCCTTGCGTCTGATTGGGTCGCGAACTAAGGCTTCGGGCCTCCATCGCCGAGGTCTCATCGGTTTCCTAGCCCACCCCAAATGCTGACTGGCTGCGGAATGGCCCTTTCCCCCCTACTCTATGGAGAGGCAGGGCCCCGAACCCCTGCGCTTGAATAGCCTAGGAGGCCGCCTCAGCAGGAGCACAGGGGTGCCAGCCCTGAGTCGCTGTCCTTTTAAACACTCTCGCCCCGGGTCGGCGTTGTGGCGTAGTGGGTAAAGCCGCCTGCGACGTTGGCATCTTGCCTGGGCGTGGGTTCCTGTCCCGGCTGCCCCACTTCCAACCCAGCTCTTTGCTAAGTGGCCTGGCAAAGCATCAGAGACCAGGATGAAGCTCCCGGCTTCGGCCTGGTCTTGGCGGCCCTCTGGGGAGTGAGAGATCCGCGGGTGAGAGACCTCTGTCTCTCTGGGGAGTGAGAGATCTGCGGGTGAGAGATCTCTGTCTCCCGGGAGTGAGAAATCTGCGGTGAGAGAGAGATCTGAAGGTGAGAGTTCTCTGTCTCTCTGTGTAGCTCTGCCTTCAATTAAAACTTAAACATACAGGCGACCAAAAAAAAAAAAAAAAACCCGTTGACCTCTCTCTTCGCCCTCTGCAATCTGTGGAGACTTTGCAGTCTGAAGTCGGCATGGGTAGGCTTCAGGTGCCTGGGGGCTCTTGCCCTTTCTGCTTCTTGCCTTACTCTAGCACTGAGGGGCTGCAAGGCTTACCCTGCAGGAAGACAGGAGGGGAGGCAGTGCCTTCACCCATGGATGGTCTAGGTACTCGCACTTCCAATCCTGACACGTGGGCCGTCTGCTGAGCCAAGATTAACTGTGTAGCTCATGTACCAGCCACCCCACAACACTGTAGGGAGGACGGCCCACGGCGCTGCCCCAGCGTTAATAGGGTCGGGGGTTAGAGCCCGGGGCTAGGGCTTTGGTGCCAACGCAGCGAGCTCTCAGTCTCCTTAAACCCGCGGCGGTTGCACCGCTGATTGGCTGGCCTTTCTCTCTTCTAAGTGGCTTCAGTCACAGCCAATGAGGCACGAGGGCGCCGTAAGGAGGCGGGCACTGCTCGACCGCTGCGGCTTCTGGTTGGTCCCACGGACCCCTTCGCTTTTGATTGATCAGAAGGCCGCAGCGACCGGAGCTGAGGGGACAGGCTTCGGGCTCCGATTTGAGGTCCCGCTGCTTGACTCGCTGAGCTCCCCGGCGGAGCCGAGTGGAAGCGCCGCGGCTGGAAGGAATGGGGTGGGCAGGAAGGCCCTCCTGAGGAGGGCACCGCGGAGGAGAGGCTGGGACAGCGGCTGCAGCCGTGAATCAGAGGGGAGCGCTGTCCCCGTACCGCGCTTCGGGCCTCCAGGGCCCCGCCTTAGCCTTTGCGGATCAGAGAGATGGAGTCGTGTCCGCCAGAGTGTGGGCATCGCTGGGACGTTTGGTCCAGAGGCCAGCGTTCGAGCCACACTACGATTTCGTGGGGTTGATGTTGACCGACCAGGTCACGTTGCACCTGGTCCACGAATGAGAGTTGAACTCTTTGGCAATCTGCATATTTTCTTTTTTTCTTTTACGTGCAGAGTGTACAGTGAGAGAAAGAGAGAGAGAGAGAGAGACAGAGAGAGACAGAGACAGAGAGAAAGGTCTTCCTTTTGGAGGCGCGCTGCGGCCCGCGCACCGCGCTGATCCGATGGCAGGAGCCAGGTACTTATCCTGGTCTCCCATGGGGTGCAGGGCCCAAGCATTTGGGCCATCCTCCACTGCACTCCCGGGCCACAGCAGAGAACTGGCCTGGAAGAGGGGCAACCGGGAAAGAATCTGGCGCCCCGACCGGGACTAGAACCCGGTGTGCGGCACCGCAAGGTGGAGAATTAGCCTAGTGAGCCACGGCGCCAGCCAGCAATCTGCATATTTTCAAAGACGCCTCTTGAATACCGTAGGTTTGAATCTAGCTCTGCTCCCGATTCCAGCTTCCAGGCCGCGTATACCAACAACTTAGGAGCTTAGGGTCTGGAGTCAGAATGCATCAGACCAAATTCAGATTCCAGCTCTGACAGTTACTCCTGATGAGTTCTTAAGGAAATCAACTTCTCCACTCATCCTATTTATGTGTCTGTAAAACGAAAGTAATAAGAGTAAACCTATGATAGAGTTTGTTGAGAAGATTCAACCAGATGGCATAGACAAAGCACGGAAAACCAACTTGGTTCAGTGTAAGTGGCTGAGACGTCATGAGGGGGCCAGTGCTGTGGCATAGCACGTAAAGCAGTGTTGGCATCCCATATGGGCACAGGTTTGAGTCCCGGCTGCTCCACTTCCGATCCAGCTCTCCGCTATGGCCTGGGAAAGCAGTAGAAGATGGCCCAAGTCCTTGGGCCCCTGCACCCACATGGGAGACCCGGAAGAAGCTCCTGGCTCCTGGCTTCGGATCGGCCCAGCTCCAGCCATTGCAGCCATTTGGGGAGTGAACCAGCGGATAGAAGATCTTTTCTTCTGTCTCTCCCTCTCTCTGTCTGTAACTCCACCTCTAAAAAATATAAATAAATGTTAAATAAATCAAAATAGCATCGGTAATTCCCCTCCCCGTCTGTCCACCTTGTGCAATCACATTAACTCTGGGCTGAGCTGTGGGATGTGCTTTGATCAATGCAACAGCAGCAAATGTGACAGGAGTAGAGACTTGAACGTGGCTGTGCGGAGACTCAGCCTCTCCTGCTGCTCTTTGGAACCCTAGGTGAGTAAACTTGGACTGGCTTGCTGTATACATGGTCCAGTCAGCACCATCACCCTAACCATTACCCCAACTGCCACACACGTGAGCGAGGCTGCCCTGGATGAAGCAGCCGCCAGTGACCCCACTAGCAGACCACAGATGCATGACTGAGCCCCGATGAGACCAGCAAACTGCCCAGCGGCACTCTGTCCAAATAGTACAGAATCAGGGACTGAAAACAAAAGCATTAGTTTAAGTTACTGTTTTGTTGTTTGTTTGTTTGTTTGTTTTTGGAATTGTAACCAAAAACTGATATGTCCTGGGCCAGGATTTTTTTTAAGATGTATTTATTTGGGGCCGGTGTGGTGGCGCAGTAAGTTAATCCTCCGCCTGCGGCCGGCATCCCATATGGGCACCAGTTCTAGTCCCAGCTGTTCCTCTTCCAATCCAGCTCCCTGCTACAGCCTGGGAAAGTAGTAGAAGATGGCCCAAGTCCTTGGGCCCCTGCACCTGTGTGGGAGACCAGGAGGAAGCTCCTGGCTCCTGGCTTCGGATCAGTGCAGCTCTGGCCGTTGCAGCCATTTGGGGAGTAAACCATCGGATGGAAGACCTTTCTCTCTGTCTCTCCCTCTCACTGTCTGTAACTCTGCCTCTCAAATAAATAAATAAAATCTTAAAAAAAAAAAAAAAAAAAGATGTAGGGCCGGGCGCCGGGGGCTCAGTAGGCTAATCCCTCCGCCTGCGGGACCCGGCAACACCAGGTTCCTAAGCCCCGGTCGGGGGCGCCAGATTCTGTCCCGGTTGCACCTCTTCCAGGCCAGCTCTCTGCTTTGGCCAGGGAGTGCAGTGGAGGATGGCCCAAGTGCTTGGGCCCTGCACCCCATGGGAGACCAGGAAAGTACCTGGCTCCTGCCTTCGGATCAGCGCTGTGTGCCGGTCACAGCGCACCAGCCGTGGCGGCCACTGGAGGGTGAACCAATGGCAAAAGGAAGACCTTTCTCTCTGTCTCTCTCTCACTATCCACTCTGTCAAAGAAAGAATGAAAGAAAGAAAGAAAGAAAGAAAGAAAGAAAGAAAGAAAGA